TAGGTGAGGGGCAGGGCTGGGACTAAACTCCAGGTGGTTGTAGTAATACCAAGGACACCGCAGAACTGTGCTACAGAGTTTCCTAGGCTGAAATCTTCCTGGGAGCAGATTGTCAGGCCTTTTCTACAGCAGAGCAGCTGGGGGGTTCAAACCACAGACTTTTCAGCTAGCAGCTGAGCACTTAACCATTGCACCACCAGGGCTCCTTTAAACTCCAAGCAGCTCTGGGAAAACTTTGGATAGTTAGCTCCCTCACCCCATGAATTTCTTCCCTTCTTACTCAAACAAACTCCCTAAAGGAAGTCCCTGGGTGATAACCCTGATATGCTCAAGGGGACTCCCTGGGCTCGTTCACAGGTCTTACAGCATACCTGCTCCAGCCTTGGCTGGCTAGAGTTGCACAAATCCCTGCAGATTGGAGGAAGAAAAGAAAGAAAGAAAAAAAGGATGAAAGGAAATGGTAAACACAGGGAGGAAATGGGAAGAGTACCATTACATTATGGGGATTATAATTAATGTCACAAAAGAAAATGTGTATGAATGTTGAATGGAAAACCAATTTGCTCTGTAAACTTCCACCTAAAGCACAGTAATAAATAAATAAATAATAAAAACAACTGCCCTCCAATTTATTTTGATTCCTGGCGGCCCCGTGTGTTTCAAAGTAGAACCGTGCTCCACAGGGTTTTCAAGCCTGTGACCTTTTGAAAAAGAGATCCCTAGCCTTTCTTCCGCGGTGCCTGAGCCGGTTCCAAGCGTCAACCTGTAGTTTAGTAGTCTAGTGCTTAACCATGTGCACGACTCAGATTGGTGGAGGGAAATCCAATTACCTTCATTTTACAGATTAGCAAATCGAGGATGCAAGAGGCAGAGACCTCCCCAGAGTCACACTGCTAGCTAAGGACAGACATGGGATTTGACAGTAAGTACTACGCTCTTCCCGCGAAATGATTTGAAAAGCCAGAAATTCCCACACATGCACAGTCACTGTTTACAATAATCACGACTACTGCCCCCCTGATGCCTGGGAATCCCCTCACTCCCACCAGTTCCTCTTTAGATCGAGCCTCGGGGTATGTGACTTAGGAAAGAACCTGAACACCACCGTCGCACCCCAACCAGGTCTACTGGAGAGGCCATCATAGCGTCATAACCTTTGACAGGGAAATCACCTTGATCTCTATGCCAAGCACTTGGCAGCGTCACTGTTCGCAGCAACTCTGCAGTTGGTAATACTGTCCCCATTCTGAGATGGGGAAACATAGCTCCTAATAAGGCACTATCAACCCTTGGCCAACACTACTAACCCACGGCCAAAAACCAGTAAGTAACAGGGCTGGGGCTCGAACCCAGCTCTGTCCGACACCAGCGCCTTATCTTTAAGATCCACCACGCCCACCGTGCAGGCCCGGCTCATTAAGTCTTCAACTGGCTAGGTGACCTCCGGAAAGTAACTTAACCCCTCCCAAAGCCCCAAGGTCAGAAGCTTTGCTTTGCGGGGAGTAAGCGGTGTGCGATGCAAACCAGACGCAAACCCTCAGGCGCCGGCGTGGTTCTTTCCCCGAGCCCCGGGGCTTTCAAACGCCAGGTGCGGAGGGCGCGCCCCTAGCCCCCGGGACTGGCGAAACGCGACGCCTAGCCGGCTAGTAGAAGCGAAACCTCAACATCCTCCAGCCTCCCCCGCTCTGTTCCAGGAACCAGCTAGGCAGGCTTCGCGGAAAGGAGCCCGGGAGCAGCCGCCCTGGATCTCGGGACCGTCCCGACCCCAGCCCGCAGCCTGGGCCGGGAGATGCGGGGGCCGGCGCGGTCGGGCCCGAGCAGCAGCGCGGCGCGCGCTTCCGCCCCGCTCGGCTCCGGCTGCGGCCGCAGCGGCCCCAGAATCCTCTTCTGGCTCCGGGGACGGGCGGGGCGGGGCGGGGCGGGGCGGCGAGGGCAGGAACGTGAGGGCGGAAATAATTTTCTGTTTGGTCGGAGCTGCCCCAGTGCCTAAGCCTGAGACGCGCGCGAGAAGGTCTAAAATGCGGGAGGCGGGAAGCTGGAGCGGGAACGCGCTGCCCTAACAAGTTTAGCGGAGCGGAGGGGAGAACGAGCAGGGACTGAGCTCCAACTGTGTGCCTGGGCTCTTTATAAAAGGCTTTTCATTCGATTTGCATTGCAACCCTTGCAAGACGGTATTAACGCTCCCCATGTACAGAGGGGCAAGCTGAGGTCCAGGGAGGCGAAGTTACTCGCCATAAGTCTCAGTTACGCCAAGGAGAGCACGGTGAACTTGAACCAACTTCTTGAACTAACTTGTTGGCCAAGTCTGACTTTAGCTCGTGTTCTGTTGAACAGCACTTCGTAGATATTCAGTAAAATGCGGCAAACCTCAGAATGAGCCCGACAGCTCAGCTCTGGGGGTTTCCGCTACGAATCCAGCTCAGCCCGCGGAGCACTGGGTTTCCCCAGACCTCGGAAGGAACATTTGCGGATGCACGCGTAGAGAAGAGCCGACCGGGCCTCTCAGCTCAGCACAGGCATTCCACCAACGCGTGATAGCGGAGCCCCAGCTGCAGCCCAACAGACAGAGTTCAAGTTCTGGCCTTGCCGCTTTCAGGCTGGGTGATTTGGACTGATCACTTCATCCTTCAGAACCTCACTTGCACCATTCTTAAAACCGGGATATTAACATCCACCCCCAAAGGTTTATGGGAAGGAATAAACGAAGCAGTTTTCCCAAAACATTTAACTAAACACACAGGTGCGGTCTCCGGTTCATTCCACAAGCTTTAGTGGGGGTGTACTGGGCAAAGACTTCCGGCCCCTGCACTCACGTTTCCCATTCCTGGGCTCAGGGACCGACGGACTAGGGAGTGACCTCGGTCCCACGAAACCCGAAACTTCGGCCATCTCGGCCCCAGTCAGTCCGGAAAGCAAATATTCAAACATGATGAAGCCGGTGCGTAACTAGGACTGACAATTTTGCGTTTAATTTTCTTGCAGTTTTACTCTTTCCAGTAAAGATAATTCGTTAGCAACTCCTAAATGAAACTTCTCGCCTGTGCCTTGTTAACTTTTCGTATGAACTAAGTTAATAAATCGTAACAAGATCGGAGAGCGTGTCATTCCTCGCGAGAATCCTGGCCCTCAGACGTGTCCCCAACAGTGCCCCTGCTTTCGTCCTTCCTCCCTCCGGTACAGAAAATGCAGCGAGACAGGTTCCCCCCAGTCCCGCCAGTGGAGCCCAGCGCCTTCGTCCCGGCAGCCCTCCGGGATTCCCCGTGTTCGTGGGGAAGGAAGTGGGGGACTGCAGCCCAGAATCCGACTTCCCCAAACTCCTGCCTGTGCACCGGATTAAGGGAGTAAATCCCAGACGCCACCGGCCAGGTCAAGGACAAGTTCTCCCCCGCCCCACTTCCCCCTCCTGGGCGGGGATTCACCCCCCTTCCGGGATGAAAGGTACTAAGGAGACGCGAAGGGGGGCGCGTCGGGCCCGGGCCCCTTGATGTTCCGGTTGAACAGGTGCTGGTGAAAAGGAGGCGGACCCGGCGGAAGCGTCTGCCAGGGGGGCAGTGCACTAGAAGGGGGGCAGCCTCCTCCACCCGCAGTTCCTCTGCCCTTCTTCCCCCTCCTCGCCATCTGCCCCTCCCCCGCAGGAAGCGTTCCCGGCCGCGAGGTCTTTGAAGTGTCGCCGAAACCCCCAGGGCTGCTCTCTCCCCTCCCCCACTTCACCTCCTGCTGGGGGGGATTGACCTTTGGCGCCGACCCCCCTTTAGGAAGTGGGGGGGGGCAGATCGCGTCCCTCTTGCTCACATCAGTGTTGGGGATGAAACTGCGAGCTAACGCCTCCTCACTTCTTCCTCAGACCCCATTTGAGGACCTTTAATCCTTTGGGGTAGTGTGTGAGTTTGTTCGCGTGCGGACCTAAAGGTCAAGTGTATTCCTGAGCGCCTCTGTAGTTGGAGGTCTCTAACTTGTGTGTGTCTCTAAGCGTGTCTCTGTGGATGGAGCTGAAGCTGGCGCTTGTGTCTCTGGGAGAATCAGGTGGTGTGGCTGAATGGGACCAAGAGGGAATTTGTGTCTATGAATGCCTCCCGGTGAGAGCGAGTGTGTTCTGAACTAGACGGGACGGTCCCCGAGGGCAGGAATATCTCTTTTGTTCACTGTTTGTATCCCGCGGGCTGGCACCTAGTGAAGTGGCAAAGGAAAATATGTGTATTAGAGCGTTTCTCCAAGAAAAGCCCCTGAGCGGCCACCAAAAAGAGACTCCCAGACACGAAGGGATAAGCGGCCCACGTCGCTCCTGCTCCTTCTGGCGCCCCTTCCCTGGTCTCCACCTTCCAAGTTTCCTTGGGGTTGAAGAGTCATACGAAAACCTGGGCTGAGGGCGGAAGGGCAGGCAGGGTAGGGCTCGGGAGTGACAACCGAGATCGAGAAAAAGAAAGAGGCAAAAAAGGAGCACCGAGCGAACGAACGAAAAGCTCCCTACCAAGCCAGGCTTTGTTCCTTGAACCTAAGACTTTACCCAGCGGCGGGCGGCGGGCGGGCCGGGAGCGAGCGAGCAAGC